CTCTCTCCCCCCCCCTCAATATCTCCCTCTCTCCCCCCCTCAATATCTCCCTCTCTCCCCCCCTCAATATCTCCCTCTCTCCCCCCCTCAATATCTCCCTCTCTCCCCCCCTCAATATCTCCCTCTCTCCCCCCCCCCTCAATATCTCCCTCTCTCCCCCCCCCCAATATCTCCCTCTCTCCCCCCCTCAATATCTCCCTCTCTCCCCCCCTCAATATCTCCCTCTCTCCCCCCCCTCAATATCTCCCTCTCTCCCCCCCTCAATATCTCCCTCTCTCCCCCCCTCAATATCTCCCTCTCTCCCCCCCTCAATATCTCCCTCTCTCCCCCCCTCAATATCTCCCTCTCTCCCCCCCTCAATATCTCCCTCTCTCCCCCCCTCAATATCTCCCTCTCTCCCCCCCCTCAATATCTCCCTCTCTCCCCCCCTCAATATCTCAATATCTCCCTCTCTCCCCCCCCTCAATATCTCCCTCTCTCCCCCCCTCAATATCTCCCTCTCTCCCCCCCTCAATATCTCCCTCTCTCCCCCCCCTCAATATCTCCCTCTCTCCCCCCCTCAATATCTCCCTCTCTCCCCCCCTCAATATCTCCCTCTCTCCCCCCCTCAATATCTCCCTCTCTCCCCCCCTCAATATCTCCCTCTCTCTCCCCCCCTCAATATCTCCCTCTCTCCCCCCCTCAATATCTCCCTCTCTCCCCCCCTCAATATCTCCCTCTCTCCCCCCCTCAATATCTCCCTCTCTCCCCCCCCTCAATATCTCCCTCTCTCCCCCCCCTCAATATCTCCCTCTCTCCCCCCCTCAATATCTCCCTCTCTCAATATCTCCCTCTCTCCCCCCCTCAATATCTCCCTCTCTCCCCCCCCTCCCTCTCCCCCCCAATATCTCCCTCTCTCCCCCCCCTCAATATCTCCCTCTCTCCCCCCCTCAATATCTCCCTCTCTCCCCCCCTCAATATCTCCCTCTCTCCCCCCCTCAATATCTCCCTCTCTCCCCCCCCTCAATATCTCCCTCTCTCCCCCCCTCAATATCTCCCTCTCTCCCCCCCTCAATATCTCCCTCTCTCCCCCCCTCAATATCTCCCTCTCTCCCCCCCTCAATATCTCCCTCTCTCCCCCCCTCAATATCTCCCTCTCTCCCCCCCTCAATATCTCCCTCTCTCCCCCCCCCCCCTCTCTCAATATCTCCCTCTCTCCCCCCCTCAATATCTCCCTCTCTCCCCCCCGCCTCAATATCTCCCTCTCTCCCCCCCTCAATATCTCCCTCTCTCCCCCCCTCAATATCTCCCTCTCTCCCCCCCTCAATATTTCCCTCTCTCCCCCCCTCAATATCTCCCTCTCTCCCCCCCTCAATATCTCCCTCTCTCCCCCCCTCAATATCTCCCTCTCCCCCCCCCTCAATATCTCCCTCTCTCCCCCCCCCTCAATATCTCCCTCTCTCCCCCCCCTCAATATCTCCCTCTCTCCCCCCCTCAATATCTCCCTCTCTCCCCCCCTCAATATCTCCCTCTCCCCCCTCAATATCTCCCTCTCCCCCCCCTCAATATCTCCCTCTCCCCCCCCCCTCAATATCTCCCTCTCCCCCCCCCCCCCCCCCTCAATATCTCTTGCTCCTCCCTCAATATCTCCCTCTCCCCCCCCCCCAATATCTCCCTCTCCCCCCCCTCAATATCTCCCTCTCCCCCCCCCCCAATATCTCCCTCTCCCCCCCCCTCCCCCAATATCTCCCCCCTCTCCCCCCCAATATCTCCCTCTCCCTCATTCGTCTCCATATGGACTCTGTGATCTGGCTCTCATCTCACTGCTCTCATAGTTTCATTGTCTGGATTGCAGGGAGGCTGTTTTGGGCCCTTCTGTCATGGGGCTGAACTCTGTATGTAGTTTGTCTATCTTCTGGTTTCTCAGAAGTTGGTTCGCGTGTGCAATGTGTCAGACATGTCACACACATTCTCTCGTTCTTGTTCCTGTGCTGTGCAGTGGATAGTTCAGGATGTGTCCTTCCATTGTCTTTGTGAAACTTTTGGTTACCCTGCTGTTGGACCTCTTCACGTAGACATGAATTTGGGAGGTTTCTGGTTTTACATGGCTGTTTTCATTTTGCAAGGCTTTCATGATGGATGTTTTTCACTTTAGACTGGGGTCTGCGATTTCCTTTATCTCTTTCCACTGGTTCAGTGCCTCCTCCCTGTTCTGTCCAGATTGAAGATGTTTCTGGCAATGTGTTTCATCTGGCTCCTTGGTGGCTGACTCAGCCTTGCTTCTGGCTTTTCTGACTATCCAAACCCCATGTATTTTCCCACATCTCTGATTGTTTCAGAGGATCAATTGGGAGATGTTCCTTGATGATTCAAGGCTCTCCACTAGTCTTTGCATTTTCACAGTCTAATTTACCGCCACCTATATGAAGGTCAGGTGTCTGATCATATGATGTCGCGCCAGTGACTGCTGAGCGGCAGCATGAAGTTGTTTGATGATCTTTTCATAGTATTGTCTCCTCATTGCCTGTTTTCTGTGAACTCAATCTGGTCGACTTGTCTTTCTATCTTGGCTGTTTGTTGATAGGCATCCTATGCCTCATACCCCTGCATTGTCACTTCCTGTGTGTTCGTCTTCTTTGGTTTTTAATGTTGACATTTTTTATTCACCATTTCAGAGGTTGTTTTATACCTTTTTCTCCTACAGCCTGCTACTTTTTTGCCTGCGCCTCTTTGTTCTTTGTATTGTATAGTTGTTTTCTATCATATTCTGATTTTTGTTTGTCCTCTTTGGCTCTCTTCTTTGAAGTGGTGTTTGTTGGCTCTCACATCTGGCTGTAGGGTTTGGGAGCTTCCTGCTCTCCTTTGAAGGCAGGAGTTTTGTTCTTTTAATTCTGGGACATTGTCTTTGTCTGGAGCCATTGTCTTCCTTTAAGCTATTAATGTGATGGGTTGAGGTTGCATTCTCTTGGATTACTAGACATTCCTCCCCTCTTACATTGGTAATCACTTTTTGTGTGTGTGTGCTCTATTTTGAGATAGCTCAGGGAGTAACTGAGAGGTGCTTTCCCAGAAGTCCTACATGAAACACTTCTTTCAGATGGGTTTCCTAGGTAGTTCCTCATTCCTACTTTTCCCACTACAGTACTGTACTTGGGTTTCAGTGGGTATCCAAAAGCTGATGAAGATTTCCAGGTGCTGCTCATCTGAAATTGATGAAAAAATATAACTTGAAAGGTTTTGCGTTTATGGGAATACTACTACAGGAAATTGTAGAACAAAGAACTTTGCACACACGGGATGTGAAAATGGTGAGAATTGATCAGAAATTGAATTTTTTATTAGATCTCAAAGTTGAAAATCTTGTTCAGAGAAAAATGAAGTTCAAGTTCTCGACATTATATATGATCGTTCTACATTTTGGATTTCCTTGTAAGTTTTAATAAACATTACTTGGCAATGTTTGTTAAAACGTATTATTTTGTATTATATTCCCCATATTTGTATATTCGTATTATATTTCCCCATATTCGTATTCCAATATGTGACAGTTATAGGTCAGTGTGTGTTGAAACAAAGTCAAGAAAAAATTACCCCCCCAAAAAACAAAATATAGGGATAAGGATAATGGGTTAAGGGATATATAAGTATGCTTTATATAAATGAAAAAGTTCTCATCTGGTCCCCATTCAGCAAAAACAACCTAAAAAGACACAGAAAATAGAATTATCTGTGAATAACTTGGCCAAAAAAAATTAAGTCAAGTTCTGTCACCTGTGGTTGATTTACATGTTGACCAATTTTTGTCCAACTTCATATCCGTAGTAATGGGTGTACATTCTCCAAGATGTAGAAGCCACAACAAAATCAGATGAGAAACAAAGGAGAGAGAAAAAAAAATTACTCCCCCCCCCATCCAAAAAAAAAAATTGGACATGAGTAATACTGTATTGGGATTAGGCAATGTATTTATATGATATATAATAAAATGCAGCAAAATAACATACTCATTATTATTTGTGTGAAATTTTGCTCTCCAGGTGGCAATCAGCAATGCTAGAAGGCACCAGCTGCATATTCACTTTATAGACCCTCCTTACAAGTACTATTCTTCTTGTCACTGTATTATTCATGAGTTCCACTAACTAGGTGTTATTGTTATCATCAGTACCGGTTGCACATATTTTTTCTTTTTTAAATTTGTATAAAATCCATTTTTTAACATATTTGGATGAAATTTTCATGACACTGATGTAAAATGACTTTAGATCTGTTTAACATGTTACACTATACAGTACAGTATTTCATAGTTGAACAAATATTTTTGCATATGTCGGCCACTTAAGCTATCTTGCCTAGTAATAGTAGTATGGGGCATCAGGCAATGGCACGAGGCCCTTACTATGGATAACAAAGCCGAAATATTAGAGAACGTGATCGTGGCTTTGGAGACGCATTGCTAGCAGAGGTATTGTACAACTAGTGGGTGAAGCAAATGTCACATGACGTGCTGCATAATTATCCAGGTACTGGTATATGTTACATTAAGTGTGAAGAAGTTTAACCCTTGCACTGCTACAATCACTCTGCAATTTGCACCTGTGCACTCAAATTACCATATGCGATTGATCTTTGAGATTGATCCTTCTTTTTTTTTTCATGCATACTAGGATGTTGGACTTTTAAATATTATAGCAGTTCAGGGTTAATCATGAAGTGCCCAATTAGTATAATATTTGGAGTTTGGTTTTCATTTTAGTCTCATTACCTTGTGTCTAGAGGCCTGGTCGAAGACTGGGCCGCAGGGATGCTAAGCCCCGAAGTCATCACAAGGTAGGGTTTTAATGTACAGGTACTTTAGTCACTTGGGAAAACAGTGTTCCTAAGTGAGTTATGGGATTTGCCATTTTTTGTTGTGTATGTAAAGTTTAACAAGTTTCATATGATATAGAATGTCAAACGATATTTTCTTTTAATACTGTATTTCTAATGGCAGAATATTCTCTCCTCCTTTTTTGGTGCAGTAGTAAGCAGCACATGATCGCCATGGGTAGTGACCAACACTTTTGCCTGCGGTGGAACAACTTTCACAGCAACATTGCCACATCATTTGAGCATCTGCGTGACCATGAAGACTTTGTGGACGTGACACTGGCATGTGAGGGGCGCAGTCTGAAAGCTCACAAAGTGGTGCTTTCAGCCTGCTCCCCCTACTTCAGAAATTTGCTCAAGGTAGGGACTGCTAGAGTGTGTATTGGCTATGCAGTAAATTCTCATGAGGTTCTTTCTAACTTGAACAGCACAAATTGTGTGTGATGCCACAGACATGTTTTGTTTGCTGCATAGACTTCTATTGCCCTTTTCTCCACATTTTGTTTGACTTTATACAACATTTTGAGATTATTTATTCCAGTCTAAAAACTATTTTATGAAACAAATATGGTTATACTGTGCAGTATCTCTTTGTATCAAGGCTATGTAATATAAAGGGCTCAAGTGGAATTTTCATTGTCCTTTCTGTAAGTGTAGGCATAGAGGAAAGAGCTTGACTACTAGTAACAGATATTTAGATTTCAACGTTATTTATTTATTTAATTTTACTTTGAATACTATCACTGTTGTTCATAATACACATTTTAGTGTAAGGTTCTGTATTTTCCACCTTTGTCTTGGCTCCTGAATGTTCCTCATGTAATTGTGAGTGCGGCCAAATTCTTTACCATACAAAAAGTTCCCTAATGCGACCGTGATAAACATGGTGTGGGTTGGTATAAGTTTTACGTGTTATACACGTTTGAATGAATTATATTCTTGCATCATGATACCTTCCAGATGTTTCTTTTTCTATTTTTTTATATTTTTTTGGACTCTTGCATCATGGTCCCTCCTAATCATTCTGTAGTGCAGATTTCATGTAATACTAAATTTTTCATAAAGCATCTGTCCCTCATTCTGCACAAGGGCTTGTTGTATATACGTATACAGTATCTTTATTGTTTTATGTGCAGTTTCTTGACAGTTTCATAAATTTTAAAATGTTTGTGCTTACTTTTTTGCTTAAATTTTACAAATTGTTAATCTTTTTTTCAGCAAAATCCTTGCCAACACCCCATCATAATTTTACGAGATGTGGCATATGTGGATATGTCGGCTCTTCTGAGCTTTGTGTATCAAGGTGAAGTATATGTGTCACAAGATAGACTCACAACCTTTTTACGCACAGCTGAGATGCTCCACATTAAGGGACTTACAGAACAAAATCAGCAGCAGTCTCACATAGCGGCACACCAGTTACAAAGAGATCAGGTAAGTGGCCGAGGGGCGTGCTGAAATAAAATAATCTTCACATTATAGTATATAATTGTTTACATTGTTAGATTAGGCCAGTATCTCAATATAGCTTTTGCTAGGCTTTTTATTTAATTATACAAATACTGTATTTAAATACAGTATCTGTTTTGAGCATTTATAGTGTAAATACTTATAAAATATTTCGTCTGAATAATATGGGGCTTTTTTTCTACCCTATGAATGTTAAATCTAGAATATCGGTTTATTGCTATTATTTGTACTGTATTTATCAAATTTTATTTGTTACTGTTTGACTGTACTGTGCATTTAACCATCTATAAATGATATATGATGAATGCCTTGTTTTATCTAGACGCTTTCCTCTCCAGACATTTTAGATACGATAGTTTCATTGACTACTGTTTCTTCATTCTTTGCTTTTCCTTGGTTCTGTTTCTTCATGTTTCTTCCCTTTGTGTTTCTCACTTGCATGTTTTTGTCAATAACAAGCATTATTTTCTGGGAGGAGCCTCCCTTGGTGGATTCCTGATGTGGGGAGCCATCTTGTCAAGGTGGCTCCCCCAGTAGTGGGTCACATCAGTTTACTGAGAGTCCAGTCACTGGGGGACCAGAGCAAGAACCTGGCCCTCGCATCACAAAGGTACAGAGAGCAGGGGACTATTATCATCGCCCTCACTGAGAAAGCATTAGAAAATCAGTAAAGATTTTCAGATATCTGCAAGGTTCATAGGAAACAAAGCCCCTAAATGGCTAAACAACTCTGCAAACTATTCAGGTGACACAATTGATTCTCTCTAACTAACGTGAACCCATTAGTACCGATAACTGCCACCAGGTGGCCCAGAACCCCAGCCCTCGCCTACTCTGCTGGTCAGTCCTGTTGCTGATGTGTTTGTGTAAACACAATGTAGTAATGCTTTGAGTCATCATCTGTTGCAGTGAGTCCCACTGCTTCTCAGCTAAGTGCTGGCTGTCCTTCAGATTTTGTCCTGAGGAGACCATTTGGTTGTGTTTTTGTTCTTTATTTTGATATTTACTTCACATGTGTGTGTTTTCCTCTCCGCTTGGTTGTATTTTCTTTGCTTGTTTTGCTCAAAGTTCCCTTCTCTGAGTGCTCATTTAGTGTTACCCATGCACTAACAGTTCTCTGGTATGTTCTGGAGTTTACCCCATGAGAGGTCTGGCCACTGGGGTGGACAACCTTGTCCTAGGAAGTTCATGAATTGTTGACTCTTCTGTGTAGGCCCTGGGTTGAGGGTATCCTATTTGAGTGGGTTGTGCTAGGATACACACACATGCATGGTTTATATGGCACACCATGGGCACCCTTCAAAGCCCCATTGTTATGGGCTGCATTTGGTGTCTGTTCTTTTGGTTGAGAGTCCCCTAGTGCCTTGGTGTCCTGCTTGGCTAGCTGCCTTTAGATCCTGGTAAGTTCCTTGTACATCTGTGGCATGGCTCGTGAAGGTTCAACCTGTTGAGCCCACACTTGTTGTTGTGAGTTTGTAGGGGTGTTCGTTGGTCCTGCTTCTGACCAATGATTCTTTGCTTCTGCTGTGCTGCCTGTTGGGACACCTACAATCCAGTCCTGCAATGTATGTGTTTGCTAAGACTGTGTTCTCTAAACCTGCTTCACATTAGGAAGCTTACCAGGCACCTGTCACTTTACAGGTTAGGTTTACCTTTCTTTGGGTATCCTCCTTGGGATGATGCCTTTCTGTCTAAGGTGAGGAATATGGCTACCCTGGGGTCAACATGGCTAGCTTCTTGAGACTGAAGGTGAGCTCAAGGATAGGCCATGAGTGACCTTCAGCCCTTCCTAGATGTTGGTACATTCGGCAAAGGGTTATTTGCTTTGGGTAAGGGGGGAGGATGGTATTTCTTATTCCTCCTTCAATGTATGAGTGTGATTACTCTGCAGCTCCTCTCTTGGTTCGATTCTGTGTCATCAATGCCTTGGATTGCTCCTATTTCTGGAGGTTTCTGTTGTCCCACTTTTTGGTGTCTGTGGGTATTTCAGTACCTGTGTAATTTGGACCTCACTTCATTAATAAACATGTCCTCATTTAAATTTGGGTCTGCTTCAGCTTATTGAATGCCTGAATGATGGGAAGCGAGTTCCATCTTTCAGGTGTTCTTTGAGGACACTCCTTATTCTTCACTCAACTGCCTGTTTGCTCTGCACTTCCTACAGGAAGTGTGGAGTGTAGTTTCTTACAAAGAAAGCTTCCTATAGTTAAAGGAAGCTCTCATCCTGTAACTACACTTGGGTAATTACTTGCATTCTTTTCTTCTTTCCTCTCTTCCTCGTACCCTCAAATTCTCTTGAATACACTCCTCACCATCTTATTGTCTGTTCATTCAACATGACCAATCCATCATAATATGCTCTCCTCAAGTTTGCTTTCAAACGACTTTGACACACATCATTCTACAAGATTTTCATTCTTGCTATACAGTACTGTATTTTCATAACATCACACAAACTTCTCCTTTTTTCAATTTCTACTGGCAAAATTTTGTATCTTGCATTGTTTCACATCTGTACATGAGGGTAGATAATGCTACTCTGTTGTGCAGCTTCCTGACTGCATCTCTTCCTATATTTTATTTTCTTACCGGGACTTTCATTGCACTAGACACTTTCTTTCCTTGACTCGCTCTACTCTTCAACATTGCTAGAACAAATTTGTCTTCCCAGTTTCGTTTTTAAGTTTTCTATTAGAGAAAACTCATTAGCATGAGCTGAATTTTTGTTGTGTAGTCCTATGAATTTTGAGTTAAAAATGAGTCTAGGAGAGAAAATGAATAGCTGAGTTTCTGTAATCTAATGATGGGGACATTCATAAATCAGCACATAGAAGAAATAACATAAATTAAAGAAGGAAATAGACTATTAATCTGTCTTAGTTTTTGCTTGGACAGAGAAAGAAATCTTAAATTTAAAATTTCCATGACCATTTGGTCAATGTGACCATGTACTGTTAGAAATAGATTATTCAGAAAATTGTGATACAGGAGATGGAGAGGAAGTTTACATAAGAGATAATCTGTTCTATGTGAGAGGGATATGTAAAATAAAACATTTATTTTTTGTGGTGAGCCCCGTTGGCTCCCTGAAGCTATCCGAACTGATATGTGCTATATTAGTTTAGGATCACCAGTCACAGGAGTCCTTATGCCTACTGGGGACCACAAGCCAGAACCTGACCCCTTCAGAGAGGCCCAAGGAGCAATAGCCTACGAGCACATTACATTTAAGGTAAAGTATGTCACAATTGCAATCGACCGGGGAACGACTCGGAAAGGTAGGCAAATCAAGACAGACCACTCACTGTCTGGTTAACCTGTGCAATCTACATACCTGAAGATCAAAATAACTCCCCTAGAAAGAAACCAAACGAGCACCCCTTCATGCGACTAGCACTTCTGCTCGTTAGCAGGGAGGAAAGGGGAAGCCGGCAGCCCACCACTCCAATTCTAGAACTGATGTGCTGATGGTTAGATCAGTCACCTCTGGCCTCGTGTTCCTGTTCTGGATTTTACCGTGTGGCTGTTCAAGCCGAGTCTGGTGTGGTGGCCAGGTGTTTTAGAGTCCAGGAGCAGCATGCACCTAGGGTGACCTTTCCTATGTACTCTGTGATTCTTTGGGGTGTTTGGGAATCACTCCCTGTTTGAAGAATTCATCGCTTGATGTTGTCTTCACCCTTGAGGTACATCAGGAGTCTAGGGCTTTCCATCTTTTCCCTAGTAGGGAAGTGTTATTGGCTGGGTGGGGTGCACTGCGGCTGGCACAGCTAGCTTTACTTCAACGCAGCAGTCGATGTTTCTCTCTGACTGCCAGTTTGTTGTGTGTCTTCAAGGGTTTTTTTCTTTTCATTCTCTGGTGGTCTCGCCTTGTTTAGACAAAAGAGATCTGCTTAGCTTCTTATTAGGCAAGCCTAGGTTGTGTTGGAAATTCTCCTCTGTTGCCCCAAGGTTTCATAGCTGCTACTGGAGATCATTTTGCCTTCTACCTGACAGGGTTCTACCAGCTTAGCTGGCCCCAGTGTTTGAGCTCCCATAGGGCTAAATCTCCAAACAGACCCTGGGAAAATGCCTGTGGGCTCGGTTGTACAATGGCTACTTCTTCTGAGCCCACTCTCCCTTGTGCGAAGTCCACGGTTGTTCGTTGCCTCTGCCTCAGGTAAACGATCATCTGTATTGCCTCCGTCATGCTACCTGTTGAGTCAGGGACACCACCAACCCAAAGTCTTGCGGGACTTGTTTCCCGCTTATACTCTACTTTCCTCGTTCCTAGTCTGTTGATCTTGGGGATCAGGCAATGGCTGCATTATTTACTTGATTATCTTTACTGTAATGAGCCAGGTTGGTTGCCTGGTTGGAGGCTCCAGAGTTACTCCACTTTTGTTTTAGGGACCTGGATTTGGGGGGGGGGGATTGGTCGCTTCAACCGTGGTTTCTTCCGTGCCTCGGCTTCCTTCCCAGGTGTGCGTGGTTCGCCCTGCTCCTTTTCCCTCCTGCTTCTTGCTTCCGAACGTCTGCGGGTTTCGGGGTTGGGGCGGGGTTTAGCTTGGGGTCTGGTGGCTTCGAGGGCTGCCTCCTTCCAATTCGGGTGCAGAGGTGGTTGAGCCCGATTTTCCTGCCAAGGCTTCTGGGTCAACCCAGCAGACTACCTTCTTGGAAGCTTTTTCCCTGGACACCGCCTTTTCTTCAGGGGTGGTGGGCGTAGAAGGTTCTGCAATGAGACCTTTGTCTGGGGTTCCCGGGGGGTCAGAAAAAGTCTGTTTGAAGTGCTTGGGCTTCTTTTGCCCCTGCTTGGGCCCTTATGCCTTCTGGGCAGGGGCGTTTGCTGCAGGGGAAGAGGAGCGCAACCCCCCCCTCCCATCCTCCCTATGGGGGGTAGCGCTAATGAGCGGAAGTACTAGTTGCATGAAGTGTTGCTTGTTTGGTTTCTTTCTAGGGGAGTTATTTTGATCTTTTGGGATATAGATTGCACATGTTAACCAGGCAGTGGTCTTTTGTTATTTCATGCTCCTTTCTGAGTCCTTCCCAGGTCAATGGCAATTATGACATACTTTAAATGTAATGTGCTCATAGGCCATTGCTCCCTGTGCCTGAGGGGCAGTTTACCATTGAAACTGGTCAAAATGGTATTTATTTACAAATACATGTTATAAATACTCTGAGAGGACCAGTTTCTGGCTCGTGGTTCCCGGTAATCATCCTTTGACCGATGCCCCAAACTAATATAGCACATATCAGTTCAGCTAGCTTCAGGGAGCCTATGGGGCTCACCCAGAATATGGCGTTTCATTACATTCAACTCTGGTTTTATATTTACACATTTTTCTTTTTATTCATAGGGAGGATTGGTAAATAAGGTGGTGAGTAGCCTGGGTGCTGTAGCTGTCCAGGGTCCGTCCTCACCACGCTTAAGATCCACACCTTCACCTACTAGCCATGTACTCCAACAGCCGTCCCACATCTCACCACCACCCAAGAAACGCCGACCAGACAGCAGTCCAACCCTTAGCTTGCCAGTTTCCACCGCAGCACCTTCTACTCCACCCCGCTCAGATGTGCCCTCAGCGCGAATAGAACTAAGTCCTCGTTTGGAAAGTTCTACGTTGGCCGCAGCCCTCACAAAACCTCTTAACCCAGTCAGTCAGAGAGGGGACAACACAACCAGAAACTCACAACCTGTACCTCCTGCACAGTTGCCCCCTCCCCCACTCTTAGCAGCCCAACTATCCACTCCAGATGTGCCAAAGGTAAAGCAGGAAGATGAGAGTGAAGTGGTTGTGGGAGAGGAGGACAGCCATATACCAGATCAAGCAGTAAATCTTGTAACGGAAGGCTCTATTTTACGGCAACGTATCCAAGGCTATCAAGGAAGTAGCGAGGCACCCTCAACTCTACCCCCACCACCCAACATAAGTTCCAGTAGTCGCCCCACACAGGCACTACTACATCATCATATAGTTAAAGACGACTCCCTTAGTGATGACACGAACATTGGGGAAATGGGGGTAGAGATGGGAGACGGAGGTGGAGAGAAGGAAGCTCTAAGCAGTCCACCACCCATGGTGATCAGACCACCACTCATGGGTCTTCTACCAAGAGAAGCTGCAGGTAAATTATTGTTCAACCTTCTAGAAAGCTAAATTATGTGTATTCCTAAAATTTGCCTATTGCCAGGCAGCTTAGTATATTACTGATTATTGTAGTTGAATATTAAAATATTTCATAGTTTATAGAGTTTAATTTGGTTTTGGTTTTAATTTGGTTTCTCTAGTACAGATACTATACCTTGTGGATTTGTCATGTTTTTGTTGTAGTACTTTTTTCTTCCTTAATGCTTCTGTTCGTCCTGTGGAAGATTACCCTGTTTTATTGACTTCAGTCTTAAAATACTGTACTTTAATATGAGCAACGTGAAAATCAGTAAGAACCACGAGGAGGATTCAATACACTGGGTCTTTCCAAGCACAATCCTTAGACCACTTAATCACGACATGCTCAAAAGCACTGAAACTTGGGATTCGACTGAATCCTCTAGGGGATTAATGTGATTTCTTTGTGCATTTGAAAAGAAGCATTGGGGGTAGAACCACAGTTAGTGCATGTTGGCAATGCGTGAAATCATGACTTGGCTTCAGTAGAATCCTCAGAACCAGAGGATTCAGTTGAATACCAAGGTTTCATTGCTTGTGTGCATGAAACCACAAGTTGACCACAAGTTGACCTTGTGGTTAAGTGGTCTAAGGCATGTGCTTGGGAATACCCAGTGTGTAGGTTCAAATCCTCCTCACGCCTCCTACTGATTTTCTTATCAATACATCACATTATTGTGATTTCTTTGTGCATAGGGAATGTGTTAACCACTCTATCTGCATTAGAGTATTTCTGTACTTTCTGTGGCTGATTTACAGTTAAAGCTTCCACTCATATCCATTTCCCCTATTGTTGCTCAATTTGAAAGGGTAGTGCATGTCCACCTTGTCTGTCTTTCAATATTTTGTATGTATTGATCATTTCTTGTTTGCCTTTTTCCCTCATTTGGAGTTTCTGTTAACCTGTCTTTGTAGCTTGGATGTCTTTGTTCATTCATTAGCCTTGTTGTAAATATGTTAATTTTCAAATTTCATTATTTTTGTGCTTTGCTAGATGCAGATTCTAAGCCTTCCACCTACCTTTTTTCCCAACCTCCCTTCCCTTCACCTGACCACTTACTGGTTAGTGTCTACTAGAAGGTGGGACTTGGGCTTTGTATACATTTTATGCTATGCCTAGCTAGTGTACGTGGTGTAAAACTAGTGGTCAAGAAAATTGGGTCTAGGAATTAAATCCCGGATGTTCTTCATGATGAGAAATAATTAATATGGAGACATAAGAAAGGATGAAGTATCATGGACTGATTTGAGGTTAATAAGAGTTTAAAGGAGGACAGGGATTCTAAAGACAGAAGTGATGCACAATCATGACAAGGTATACTGACAAGTAAACAAAAACATGGCTACCTATGTTTACCTATGTATGTATTTATCTATATATTACAATCAAGGGGGGGCCTGACGGCTGCGTGGACAGCACTCAGGATTCGTAGTCTTAAGGTTCCGGGTTCAATCCCCAGTGTAGACAGAAACAAATAGGCAGTTTCTTTCACCCTGATGCCCCTGTTCACCTAGCAGTAAATAGGTACCTGGGCGTTAGACAGTTACTACAGGTTGCTTCCTGGGGATGTGTAACAAAAAGGCCTTGCTGAGGACCGGGACGCTAAGCCCTGAAATAATCTCAAGATAACCTATACCTAGAGATTTGTTTGTGTCACTGGAGGTCTGTGTGAAAGAGGAGGTGCAGAAGAATGCTAACACCAGAGTCAGACTTGTAGCTCAGATGGTGGGGCTTCAAATGGAACAAGCAGAAAATGTGTGAGAATGTGGAAGAATGAGCATGTAGCGAAGTAGTTATGTGAAGACTGCAAGCAGATCTAATTTCACTAAGAAGGACTACAGTATTTGGGAAAGAGGACCTGAAGAGTGATTAATAGAGAAAGGGATGTAAAACAACCAGAACAGAGAGAGAGAACAATGTCGATTGGCTTTAACAGGTTAAAAGCAGTGGAAGAGGAATGGACGATAACTAAAGTAGTAATAAAAACAACAGAGTCAAGCCAGTAGTGACTGCTACAGGTCAGTGAGGAACAGGGCCAGTAAAAGCTTTTGCAGAAGTTGATAAGGATTGAAATCTATAGCAAGTTATTAATTCCAGTGTTAAGGTCATGAGAACCAGTCAGGTTGGGAAATGCAAAAGGTGGAGGAGAAACCTTTAATAATATATTATCTATCGAAGCCAAATGGAGACACACACACTGCAAAAAAGAAATTAAAGGGAAATGGGAAAGAGTTGATTGAAATAGAATACTATTATATGATGTCAAGATGAATGGCGGATTCACCACTCATGGATGGTGATCTTTTAGAACACTATCCCATGGAATATTTGCTGGGAGTTAAAAGGATTGTGTGTACCATCTGCATTAGTGCATACACCATTGTTCACTTTAAACCCTGGCACATTTACTTCACTCCTCATAGCTAAAAGTTTTATCAGGCAAACGCCTCCAACATAGGTTTCATCACTGTTAGAGTCGATACTGATGTAAATTCTTAGAAAATGTATAGGTATTTAACATAGTTTTAAAAGACTCAATACTGTTTGTATATGCAATCAATTTTTCACTGACAATTTTTCTCTTGGCACAGTTGTACTTCTGTTTAAATCTGCCAACTATCATGTTCTGGTGTACTGTACAGTTTGTGTGAAAATGGGCAAAGATAAAATCCTCCAGAAATTTTGCAATATATAATTTAAATAAACTTGATAATTCAGATATCTTGAACATGCAAATGTGGTTTGTTCCCAGGTAGACCAGATTGACCAGGTTGCCACAAAGTTCTCTAATGGATTGAGTCATTCCATGTAGTCTTCTGTTAAACCAGGGTTCTATCAAGTCAGGTTCCACTCTCTCATGTTACTGTTTTAGAATCTTTATTACATTTGTTTCAGATAAATGATTTTGAGTATCTTGATTTTCCCCATGCCTAATTTGCTTGCAATCTTAACTGCACGTAGTGAGTTTTAGTTTCCCTTGTGTGTTCATTTGACATTGTACTCTGTATTAAAGATTCTGGTTGTGGGTTGTAGCTCTCTTCTAGTGGAAAGGAATGCAGTATGAAACAGCTGTGGCTTTCTCTTTTTTATTATCAGAATATATATATAAATATCCACAGGCCACGAGCTAGCTATCAAGAGTAAATGTGTGCACAGTGCCGCTGCTCTTTAAGTTCTTCCATAAAATGCTACTGTACAAATCAGCTTTCTTTAAGAGTTAAAGAAGTACTTCCTAGCCATGGAACTAATGGCTAGGAAGGATAAGGACGGGGAAGCTGGTGGCTTGTCAAAGGTCCCCCCCCATTAGCCCTGATGATATTTTCTATCTGTATTTTAAAACCCAGCACAGTTTTGGCATTTATGGCTTCAGCTGGAAGGCAGTTCCACGGGTTTACAACCCTATGGGTGAAAAAGCATCTCCTGTTTTCTTTTCTATATTGTTGCTTGTTGAGCTTGAACCCATTGCTCCTTATTTGTGTTACATCTGACCTATTGAAGAAAGTGTCCGGATCTACATCCCAAATGGCTTATGACCTTAATAATTTTGTCTGCTCTTAATGTTTAAATATCAAACTGTATGTTGGCATGGCTTTGAATAATTGAAAAATTTGACACGTGCATGTCTTATACTTCATGGATGTGCTCCTCTATTGTTAGTATTGTAGTTCAGTGTTGTATGATTGAGTTTGTAAGAGAATATTCAGAACATTTTTGTTTTAGATTAAGTTTTACTGGTTTACGTAAATTCACCCTCATTAATCGATTTTGCTTTTTCTCCTGCAGGGTTATATGCGGGTCCGGGAACGTCAGGGTCTTTAGGTCAGCAACATGAATCTTCTCAAGGTAAGTACAGTAATGGATTTTTTTTTTTTTTACTAAAGCCAAAAACCTTTAAAGAAATTTGTTCAATTCATTGGATGTGGATGTTTTTGTGTATTAGAATAATATTTTTGACAGGTCATGGTACAGAGGAGCCTCGATTAACAAATTTAATCTGTTCCGGCATCAAGCTCATCATGTGAAACGCTTGTCTTGCGAAACTAATTTCCCATTTAAAATAATGGAAATAAAATTAATCTGTTCCACTCCCGAAAAACATCAATATGAAATTTTATAATGTAATTATAATACATGTAATTATTATAAATGTTTTGTTTTTACTGTCTTCAATTGTACTTTACCTTATGAAGAGTCGTTGCTGGCTTGAATCAGGCGATGGGGAGGTGGGGGAAAAGGAGAGGGGGTTATGGTGTGGAAGGAGAATCCATCTCTGAGTCAGGTAATTTCCTTTTTCAAATCTACAGTAATTCTCTTTCTTCCTCTTGACAACACTATCTTTATCAAGCAGCTTCTTTGGCGACATTGTGGGTTACAAATTATAGTCACAAAACCACAAAAAACAAAGTAAAGCACAAATAAATACAGAGGAATGTTTGTCCTGTGCGATAAAACAACAACACTGTCGTCGGAGGTGTCCAAGAATTTGCAAGAACCAGCGGGAAAGTTAGGAAGCACCACGTAGTTTTCTTGTAAATCGAGCGGAAGCTCATCAATCGAGACAAATTTTCTGCGAGTGGCTCACTCGTTACCCGAAATACTCGTAGATGGGGCTGCTCATCACATGAGGTTCCTCTATATTTTAATATCAAAACTTACACAAACATTCATGTTTGCTTATCCCTCTCAAGCTACTGAGAGAATACATGTGTCCATACTTGCCCACCTCAGTAGCTTGCTGAGTAACCTTTGAAAATTCTATGATCATTTCATGTTTCCCCCAGGCCATTTGAAGGATTAGAAACTTAAATTTGGTAAAAAGTTATAACATAGTATAACAAAAAAAAGTATAACACAGATGCAATTTTTTTTTTAAATGCATGATGGTTTTTGCAAAACATCATTGAATATACAAAAGTTCACTTGCATTTCAACATTCCTTGTTTATTTATGACTTGGAGGAATGAATATAAATAAAATACAAATGATTTATATAAATTTGCTATGTTGCTGTGTAAGAAAAACTGCATTGAATGTAATGAAATGCCTCTTTGTTGGGTCCTTGATGTCTTTTTGAGCAAGCTACCATACCTACCTTGAGACAATTTCGGAGCTTAGCGTCCCCGCGGTCGTCGACCAGGCCTCCTCAAGCTACCCAGATAGCTCGGCCCAATTCATTCCACATCAGGCCCTTGAGTCATTGTGAGATTAAACTAGGGACCAGAGGCGAAAACCTGTCCTCATTTTTGTATACATAATCCTAAACCTTATTTTGGCCTGGACAGCGGTCAGAATTCCTCTTAGCAATCGTCATCATTACATTATGATGGATACCAGTGTGAAGGTTAATTATTTTCAGCTTCTACCCTTCTTGTAGGTGAGGTATGTCAGTTGCACATAGTGGTGATATAATCCTATACAGTGTATAGAGTACCTCCCTTCCAATTGGACATTAAAAATATTGGGTGTCTGGCTAGAATCCTTATCTCAAGAAACACAAATATCAACATTGCACATTGAAAATGGCCTTCCTTTATCTAGCTGTTAAGGGAGGGGGAGTTTTAGCTACAAGGTTGCTAATAGTTATATGTAAGCCAGAATGGGCCCTTTGAGACAAAGGGACTCTTGTTTGGTTATGCCTTGTGGTATCATCTGACATCATAATGACCAAGATGCCAGGGGACTTGTAACGTTGTATGGTTGTCAGTTGTGGTGACAATAAACACACATAGTAGTAAAATATATATATTTGGGCATATGTGGTATGCAGAAGTTTGAAGGCGAAGCTTGACGAGCAATGATGAGACGGCTCTATCTATAAATAGAGAATACCCTTGATAATTTGGCGAACCCAATACCTAATATTATCCTCCTTGGTAACTTCAGCTTGCCTAATTTATGATGGAGAATAGCAAACAATATTATTATACTAGGAAATCTATCGAGACATAACCAACCACAGATTAGAGAACTGCTTAGATTCTGTGACAAATTTTCACACAACCAGCAGATATCAGAGCCAATGTGAAACAAAAATATTCTAGATCTGGTCTTTACAAACAATGAAGACATAATCAGGGACATTACGATATCAGATGCCACACATTCAGATCACAAACTCATTGAAGTGCAAACTACCATCAATACTCAGAATAGACTTAAAACAATGATCAAGCAAGAGGGGTTATTCAGTAAATTTAATTTTAAGAACAAAAGAATAAAGGTAACTATTGGCTCATACAAGGCAGCTCCTATTTATAACCACCCAATTCAACTCATATACATGCCCTTTATTATATAATGTCCTATATTATGTAATGTAATATACATTATTACAATTTTAATACTGTATTAACCCTTAAACTGCACAAATCATATATATATGCTTTCAGTGACAAAACCAAAACCACGCATGTCATATATACAGTATATGATTTCGTGTCTAGCGCTATAATTTAAACGCCCCGCCTGGGTTAGGGGCAGCTATAGTGCAGCCACGACCGATAGTTGCCAGATGCCACCTAGAAAATAAATCCAGGCCAACATTCTTGGGTGTGAGAGCTTCAGTATTGAGCAAGCCACCAAGGCTGACACACGCAGCACGAGCTCACAGCACCGCTGTTCAGCTTGTGACCACAGCATCGCCTACAAATGCCATAATAAATATGTTCCTGCTATTATTTAGTGATGATAGTATTACAGAAGACCCCTGACTGATAAAACTGACCAGGATTCTGATAATAGCAGGATTGTGGTGATATTTAGTGCTGTGCTCCATGGAGGGAGGAGTAATGCTGTGGGAGGGAGGATGGTGGCGTTGTCTTCTGACTGTGTGTCGCCACCTTTTATTGACTGCACTCACCATACCAGCTTAGTGGTTCGCTATGGTGAACACAAATGTAGATACATACTTATATATAATGTGTGTATAGAGTGTAATAACAGCAATAGGAGTAGGTTGGGAGTCGTCATTTTGGTGAGGGAGGTGTGTCGTCTGCACGACTTATCATGTTGTTTACATGTGGCCACTATGGTCTTTGGCCACCATACCAGCTTATTTGTACAAGTATGGTGAATAAAACAGGTAGATACTTGTATATAATATGTGTGTATAGCGCAATAACAGCACAAGCAGTATTGTTGGAGGAGAAATATTAGTGCGTCTGGCCTTGAGGGCGGCCGCCACCAGCTGACTGTGCGAGTAGATACGTCTTTGTGCCTTTACTCACCATACAAGCTTAGATGTTCAGTTATGGTGAACAAAACATGTAAATACTTATATATATATAACATCTGTGTATAGTGAATAAATGCAAAAACAGTATTGTGGGAGGAGAATGAGGGCAAGTGAGGTGTTGTTGAGGGAGGGAGTGGCAACAAGTGGCTGGCTGGTGTGTGGCGGTCACTCCTTATTGCATTTTGACTCAATACCAACTTAGTGGTTCATTATGGTGAGCAAAACATGCAGATACTTATATATAACCTGTGTATATAGTGTAATAACAGCAAAACTATTTGTTTATTGTTTTATGAACATAATAATTGAATCACTAATATGCACACCATAATTTTGAGTACAGTGATGGTTCATACATTTTATTATATAAATATATCACAATTCACTGTATTGAATAATATTACTGCAAAAAAAACTAAGAAAAAATCAATCAGACATTGAAATAATTAGGTAATATATTTGTGGCAACTGCCGCCTGACAACTTGAGCGGAGTAGACCTCGTCTGGCGAAGGCTCTGTCAACGCCCCTTTTTTGCCAGACTTCCCTACCCTATTGCGGCTAAAATATGCCACCTACGATTTTTTTGTTATTTTTTCCGTGATCAGGGAACAAAAATGAACATTTCTATAAGACGAAAGAATTTTTTGGATTTTTTTTTTGCGCCTATGGGTGTTAAATCCATTTGGGCCCCTAGCGGTTTGAGGGTTAAAAGGATAAACTGGGCGACAATAAACACGGAACTTACAAACATTCCATGGGAAACTGTTCTAAGTAATAAAAATCCTACAGAAGGAATAGAAAAGGTGACTTCAGAAGCATACCAAGTCTGTCTGAAATATGTTCCTTTGAGGAAAGCCAGAAAGAGGCCCAACGTAGAAAGAGAACGCAGACGACACTATAAAAGAAGGAAAAAATAACAGAAATGCTTAAGCAGACACGATTTTCCCCTACAAAGAAGAAATAATTTCAACGGGGAGATTTCTGCTCGAAGAAATCGAGCAGAAATTGAAACACTCTTATCAAATTGAAGAAAGGCAACTAAAACAGAAAGCATTTCAGGACATAAAGAAAAACCCAAAATATTTCTTTACGTATGCGAAATCAAAAGCAAAAATCGCTGCCAATATTGGATCTATTCGTACGAGTGAAGGTTCATACACGGAGAATGACAAAGAAATTAGTGAAATCCTAAAAACAGAATGAGGACATGTTTAGCATACCAATAAACAGCATGAAAGGGGAAGATCCGGACACCTTTATGCATGATATCCAAACACCTGTAAATATAACTGATATCAACACAAGCGTGGCAGATTTTGAAAGAGAAATTGAAAATATGCCCATGCACTCAGATTTGGGTCCAGATTCATGGAATTCAATATTTATAAAGAAATGCAAGGTGCCAATAGCACAGGCACTCAGTATAGTGTGGAGAAAGAGCTTGGACACTGGGGGGAGATACCAGATGCTCTTAAGCAGCAGACATAGCCCCTCTACACAAGGGAGGGAGCAAAGCATTGGTAAAGAATTATAGACCAGTTGTACTGTCCCATATAATAAAAGTATTTGAGAGAGTGATCAGGAGTCAGGTCACCAGTTTCATGGAGA